GCTCAATTTATTAAGCCTCATAAACACTCTTGCCCCTGGATATACACTAACACACTGTAAATTCATGCGAGCCAGCCACATACACTCACACATACAGAGTGACATTATAGGACTCGTGGTGGGTTGATGGGTGATTTTAACCAGAGATGGTGGGATGAAGGATCAGAGATGGGTGTTCAACTGTCCCCGAAACCTCTGAGTCCCTGTTTTCCTGGCCTGACCTTTTGAATCAGTCGAACCCAAGAAAATCATGCTCTGAGACATCAGCCAATTGCGGCTCCAGACAAATCCATGTACTGCATGCCATCTTTGGCATAATCATATTTGTAACCATAACAAAGATAAGAGAAGGAAAATCAAACGGGTCATCTCAGAGTACTTACATTTGTGTTCAATGAAAAGGGTACATTCAGTTTTCCCTTTCATCACATGAGAGGGCTTTCTGGTGTTAACAAACAAGCAGTCGTTCTCCCATGGGATTAGAGTTGGGCTTTTCCCAAACTAGACAACCTCTCTCAGTCCCTAATGTCTCTGGAAACAGATGATTATTCTGGCATGTTAAAACTCACAAAGTGTAAATTTTCTTATCCTGATCCACAAGAGTGCCAGAGTCACAGAATTAGATTCAACGTTCCAGATTTTTCACTGTACTGGATGCAAATATAATAGAACAGCCTAGGCTGTTCATATTAATCCATAAAAATAGTTTGCTGAATGAAAGTCTTTCCATAAATCTTGTTACATGGAATGAGGCAATGTTGATCTTATTAAGTTCCCTGCAGCTTAAGTTAAACAGTAGGCCCTCCATAACTAACATAATGAAATTTTACTATGATGGCATTCAGTGCTAATAAAAATGTTAAAGTAAGTTGCTCAAACGAACCACAGACCTTACAGAATAAATTAATCCGGCTGAGACGTTTAATATATGCAAGAAAGGTTTGATGGTTATGGCACTATAGCTCATAAAACAGGCAAAGCTTCTGAGTCAACTCTGATGATTTCTTGCAACCAGCTCACCCATACTAACAGCACAAAAACACACATAAAACAATGCTAATATCACATTAAATGTGATCTCTTTTATGCGAGTATTTAAAAAAAAAAAAAAAAACTTACAAAAACAACAACAACTTGTCGGTTGTGTATATGTAGTTGATTACTGACAGTACAACGAAACTGCCTCCACTTTAACGCTTTTAAATCACTGCTGTTAAAGCTCATTACAGCTTTGTTTGTCTATTTTTAGGTGACATGGCGCACCTGCTGCGCACTCCTAGACGTTAACAGTCTGTATCTGATGACTGCACACTGTGCCAAAGTGCTATGACGCGCCACAACATTTGCGCTCGTTTTTGGAATTACTGCTTTTGAATGAATGTAGGCGGTCAAGTAGAAGCAACTACCATAAAGAGAACAGCAGAAAAGCAGCTCAGACATCATACACCCTGGGTCTGTCAAAAGCAGTTACCCCCTCACGTCATCACGTCCTCGGTTCACCTTCAGGGCAACGACGTAATGCGCATTTCAGTAATCAATACAAACGGCCGTGGAATTATCTAACTTACCTCTGAAGCTGATATCAGATGCGTGCGTTCAGCCGAAGGTCTGAGCTACCAACTTATGCAGTTTGTTTAGAGAAACTAGGAAGTATTTTGTAGCTGTTGTCTGGTTGCCTCTGTACCCCTCCTCTCTCACACATCTGGTCCCCAAACTAAAGGAGGACCTCCCATTCAGGCAGCTTCGGCTGGACTCTGCGGCACCCACTTCTCCTCAAAGGTTTGACTATTTTTCACGATTCAGGGAGTTCCCTATGCTGTCTCAATAAAATACCATCCAGTCTTTGAAACTGAACAATCTTTACATGGTTCTTAATCCTTGCGGGCTTTTTTCTTTTCTTCTCTCTCTCTCTCTGTGTGATTTACCAACGGCACCTGAACTTCTCGTGGCCATTTTAACCCTTACAAACTGTTCTGGTCAGATTTGACTCTTTTTGGCTTTTGACAACATCAAAAATGTCAGTCTGGTGCCTGAAATTTGATTGATTGTTCTTGAGTGACCCATTAACATTAATTTCAGACGCACCTGTGTGGGTTACTTGAATCAAGGAAAATTGTAGTTTTGTGCAGTCTTGAAAGTGTGAAACTGTACGTGCTGACAGAAGTCAGACTTTTGGATGTTCTGGTGTCTAAAACTCTACATACTGGTCTTTGAATGATCAGGGGGTCTCGAGAGAGTGAAATAATAAAATAGCATGTAGGACTGATCATATATGATACACATGAGGAACAGACACAATATAGAAGTCAGAGGGTGCCTTGAGGAGATACAGGGTGACTATATAGTTGGTTAGCATTGCTGTCACTTCACAAGGTTTATTTAGTTGTTATTCTGTGTTTGCTCAGATTTCGCAATCAGCATTCCAAAATTGGAGGTATTTGTCTTTGATGTATGGATGTAAAATTATGGAATTGTAAAAACTATACACAACTATATTTTGTATTTCACATAGTGTCTAAATTCTTTGCACTAATAAATATTTATGTTGTTGTTTTTGAGGTTTATATCAATAAGAAAGCTGGATAAATAATAACTTATAAGTTTGCACTTCTTCCCACTTTGTATGTGTAAACTAAAGCAGCAAATGTGAAGCTATATTGTTGTGTATTTTTGCTTTATTTTTGTGTATTTCTTTCTAAATTACTTTCTGTATACTGTTTACATATTCTAAACGAATGCAACAGAACAATGCATTTGTGCTCGTAGACATGAGCGAGATGATCTGCTTAAGTTCAAGCTAAGCAACAGAGTGGAAATTTTAAAAAAAATGAAAAAAACAATCAAATCAAATCAAAATATGTACAAGTGCATCTCTGAACGCACAACATGTTGGACCTTGAAGCAGATGGGCTCTGGCAGAAGATCATCCTGGATGGCACACCTGTCAGCTAAGAACAGGAAACTGATGCTCCAATTTGGATTGCCCCATCAAAATTAAACAACAGATGATTTAAAAAATATAGCCTGGTCTGATGAGTCTTAATTTCTGCTGTAACATTCAGATGTGGTATTTAGAAGTTGGTGTAAAAACATGAAAGTGTGGATCTATCCTCAGTGGCTCAGGCTGCTGCTGGTGGTGTATTAGTGTAGTGGTTATTTTCTTAGCAGGCTTTGGATGTTTTAGTACCATCTGAGCACTGTTTAAGCACCACGATGTACCTAAATATTATTGCTGATCATGTTCATCCATTTATGACCATTTGTTCACCACCTTGTTAAATATGCGCAACAAAGAATTAAGACCGTCCTGAAGGTAAAAGGAGAATCCAACCTAGCACTAGAAACCTGCAACTTATAAAACAGCAGTGAGTGTATGTGGATCCCTTTCTTTTATATTACGATATATTGCGGATAATACCTACTGCAAGCCTGTCAAACAGCTCTTATTAGCAACTTCTCGTTTTATATAGTCTGTTTAAATAATGAATAAAGCTTCAATTTTTAGACCTTCAACCAATAAAAACTGACATTTAGAAGCCCGTGCTGTTTTATGATGCATATAACAGCAGCCATGCTCCTGACTCTGCTCCAACACAGTGATACATCCACCCAGAATCCCCACAATTTCATCTATAAAAATATTTTTTCTCTGTTCATGCGTAACAGAAACCAATTCAAAGGACTGAAATGTTTCTAAAAGCCTTACCTGTGACCTTTAGGAGTAGAGTGAATGTGAGACAGATTTACATCTGCATTTGTCATTAACACACATGGTTTAGAAATTTTTGATCCAAATATGATCTTCACTCATCGCTGAACATCCTAAGGGATGCCTGCCTGTGGATGACGTAGACAAAGAGCAGATGCCAGCAGACCCACTGTCTCTGCAGGTGAACACAGAGCTGCTGAGAAAGAAGGGAAAGATACACGCCTGCTCTCTGCCTGTCACTCCTCTCCTCCTCTCTAAACACACATTCCAGACAATCTCATCTCTCCATCTATCATTTGCTTCAGTTGTCAGCAGGTTATCTTAGAGGCAGCCCACGAGAGAGCCCATAGTTATGGTACCAATTCCAGCTCCTGAATAGAGTCCATAGTTGTAAAAGTGAAGAGCAAGGTCTATCCCGTTCCAAGTCCAAGATTTAATGGAGGGCTCACTGTGAGCAGGGGGTTGTGCCAGCATTTCAACTCAGCTATGGCAAGGGATGCACTCACCTGACTATCCCATGAAATTTTAGCCCAGCTTAGTGCATAACTTCAATGCAACTTCCAAAAGGAAAAGAAAACACAAGTTGAGTGGGAGAAGAGCAAGACGTGGGAGAAGCAGTGAGGGGAATGTACAAGATGAAGAGGCTGTGTGAAAGGACTCAAACACAGCAACAGACTGAAAGGAAACAAAAGGAAGCAGCCAAGACTATGAATGTTGTTTTATCGAGTTCATTTTGTCGCCTAACTCTTTTCCCCACTCCAAAATACACTATTACATCATGCTGACCATGGGAAACATATCCCAACACAGTTGAGTGTCTCGCTCATCTTTTTTTTTCTTAGTCATTTCTTGAGGATCATTCTAATAAGAGTCCTTTGTCTTTACTTAAAGAAAGGCATAGACACGCAGTGGGCACAAAAAAATGCAGTCACAGTTTAAAAATTATAATGAGGACTAAACATAAATTTATAGTCTCCTGCCAAAAACCATGTCGAGTGTATGGAAAAGCTTATATTTGCTCTGTATTTTGTTAGGGTTCCTGACAGTACAGTAGCCTAATCCTACACTTATTGATGTTGACATGATACAGATTTACTTCAAAAATAGCTAATAAATTAGCTCAACATGAAACAAGACCTCAAACCCCAACTATCATTTCAGACTCATTTCGATTGTCTGTTTGTAGTAGATCAAAGCGAAGTCATGTCTTGGAGCTATTTTGATGACCATGTCTGATGAAAAAAAGAGAGAGAGAGAGAAACTAGAGGGGGAAAGCTAAACAAAAGCACACTTTAATGGCAACCACAAACATGTTTTATTCACATGAATGGATGTCACAGAGACAAAACTGGGGGATATAAACAACTTCAGGGTTTCCCTGGCTGTCTATAAGCAACTTGTACTGTCTACCATTGACCCGGTCTCTTCCATTTCACGGCCTTCTACCTCTGGAATTAAATCTCCCCCAATATTTCAACATGTTACAATTAGATAAACCAAAAACAAACAAAGCTGTGTGGCTGAAGCAACATTAAAACAAGTTGAACAAAATAAAGTGTCTCACAGCCAGGAGAGATAATATGGACCAGATCCAGGTGAGTGTTGGGAAATCAAATCAATTAGGACAAAGAGCAGCTGTCCACAGCAAATTCTACTTTCTCCTTCAGATCATTGTGACAAGAAGGGACGAAAAAAGGAGTGCAGTGCTGGTTGTTTTGAGGAATTTTCAGGGATTTTTGCAAACCCTCTGCGGAATCTCAGGGTTAGTCAAACAGCTGAAGTCCAAATAACCCACTATTTTCCAAAGCTGATGTAAACAAGTACTGGTGCTGATGAAGTGGCAGGGTGATGGTGTCCAGGAGCAGCACCCTCCTTGAAGAGACAATAATCCCGCTGTGTATTCTTCGGCCTGTCAGGTCATTATAGTGATGAAACCACCAGAAGGGGCCACAGTTGATTTTGAAGCATCTTGGTCTTTTCACAATCTCTGAGCATTTCCACATTGCGACATCTGGCTAACAATGAATTAAGCAGTTTGCAAGGGGAAAACAGAAAAAAGGCTCCTCTTTGTTTTATCCATGACCTTCAATATTTGTTAAAAGACTATCTAACTTGAGCGCTTGTCAGACTGTATGCATTTGTTGACCCCCGATCTTCCATAGACTCTTCAGGTCCTGCTGTAGGGAAAGATTCTAATCTTTGTCAAACCAGATGGACTCTCAAGTGGCCACAGATGTCACAATCTGGACGATCTCGCCATTGTCTCCATGGATAGCACCCTGGATGGCCTCTTTCACTTCCATGTCTGCCTGCAGGGCTGGTGCCAGCTCAGCAGCCTGAGATAAAGAAAAGAGAAGAGATGAAATAGGTGACAAGAAAGGTGAAAATACAATAAACGTTCAGTACTTTTACTGAATGTTCACCAGGTAAGGGGGACTGAGGACCAGTCTTAAACCAGTCTTAAGTCCTCTGAAGAGCGGAGTATATCAAAGGGTTATTTCAGATGATTTGGGAGGCTCCAGAGAGTATTTTAACTGTTTATTTTTTCCTGTCAGACAGTCTTTTCTCTTGTGTAACTGTAGCTATTGTGTTGCTCTCATAAAAACCACCAAAATCCGTTCACAAAAACAATTTTACGTGACAGAACGTTGCAGCTGATCATCAGCTGCTGTGACTTTAATGTTTAAACACAAACATTTGGATCATAACTAACATGTTAAAAGATCAAAAGACATGCAATAACACAAACTAACCAACTGAAACATAGTTGACTAAAAAGTACGCTGATCTCAAAGGAATATGTTTCCCCTCAGTTGAGGCTGGGACTTTCTTTGTCAAAAGTTTACGCCTTACTGTGGGAGTGGATCAAGTCTCCACTCATTGCTGCATCACATCCACCCTCTGTCTCACCACTTCCCTGCCTTTCTTAATCCATTCCTACCAAATGAAGGTACAAGAAGCCAAAAGTTAAATCTTTTTTGGTTTCTTATATAATGAATCTCGCCCTCAATTTGGCTTCTTTGTTGGAATTAGCCCTTGAAATCGGATCACTTTGCCAGTAGGGGTACAAGCAGTTAGAAGCTGGGATTATAGGCACTTTTAGGTTAACACAAAGTAGTTATCCATTTTTGACATGGCAAGTGGAAAAAGTGCTGGCTTGTAAAGCTGCCAGGAGGTCCAGTTGTAGGGAAGCTAGACAAAATGATGTTGGTAAGCAGCTATACTCTTTAAACCTCATATATAAACATCCCAAAATGTGACGAACATTCATTTTCACGATATGGGAGCATTTTCTCTACGTACTAGTCAAATATAGTCACACAATATCATTGCCTCGCTACAAAAGTCAAGTGAGATTGAGACAAAAAGCTGTCTGCATTTCATAAAGCCCATCCTAAAATCCCAAATGTGTAAATGGAAGTGGTCAGAACCCAACTTCCAGGGAGTGATCTTAAATTAGCAGGACCACAAAGGCACACAAGGAGACAACTCTGGGGGAAAAAAAAAATAGGGTGAATTTACATCTTTTAATGGCTGGAGTCCCAAAACTTTGCGGTCACACCTTGTAAAGGCCTAATGACACCTATCACAAATGATGAAGACTTTCCTGTGGACTAATCAATGTGACTAAGCTATATCCTGATTCCATTTTATTGTGTAAGACAACCACAGTGAATAACAACACACAGAAGGAGCAGAGGAATGACAAGATAGATTACAGAAGAAATATATAAGAGAAGGAGGGAGAGGTTATGAGGAGATTGACAAGTGGAGAAAAACAAGAGGCTAGCCATTTGGATTTAAATGCTTCCCTGACTGTCTCTATAGTCGATGTCAGATGTATCGAGTTATTGTGTGTCTAAAAGCCCTGTAAAAGATGAGGTTCATGACTCAGTTCTGGACGATGACCATGAGGAGTGACTCATTTGTTCCTCAAACACACATCCAAGGTTCCCTCAAACACACCTGCAGCGTTTAATTCTCTCTCCAGCCCAACGTGCTGTCACAAGACAACAGCATTGACTGTAGCACAGCTGTACCATAGCAGCACACACAACACAAACATGAGACACAGCGGCAGTAAAAATGGCAAGTTCAACACCTTTGATTCCAAGTTTGCTTGTTTTGTTTTTTAAATGAGAACTGAAAGACTCTTAAGCTATCATAGGACAGACCTAGCTCTACCCTTGCAAATAACAAATGGAAGAACGAAAATATGTAACATGTGTACTAAAACCAGGCTGCCGGTGCTTTGCAGTCTCAGCTTTAAACTGTGTCACAGTTTAGCCAGAAGTTAGAACTGCTATGCATTCTTTAGATAAAAAATATATCGCCTTGCATTGCGCACCACTTCATATGTCTAATGGAAACTATTAAATAAGAAAAAGAAGAAAATGCAGAGAAAACTAAATGCAAAATCTGGAGTAATTTTCCAGCATGTTGCATGAATGCTTCCACATGTGTGTAAACAGATGAGAGCCAGTGTCTTGACTTAGCAGACTGCAGAAAAGCAGGAAAAGAAATAACCTTTCTATGAACTCTGAAGAGAAAGTTAACAACGTTTAAACTAGGACATCAAAACAATACAGCCTACATGTCCTTTGTTTTATTAGGTCCTTTCGGGTAAAGTTTCTCATTTAAACCTGGAAAAATATCAATGTTAGCATACAGATGTGTTTTAAAACATCTTAGAATGGGAGCTTAAAGTCTACTCGGTTAGTAAACACACCGCTGTTTATGAGCAGTTTCAGTCTGTTGTTGAGCATGTCCACATGCTCTTGGTGAACCCCAGCTCTACTCAACATCAACATCACACTTGTGACTGATCAGACTTCTGTCAACTTTGTTGATATCTGTCAAGATCTGTGTACAATCCAACATTAGGAAAAAAAATGAGCTCATTTTAGATGTAAAGGTTCATTCAAACAAATCACTTGTGTAAACAAACAGCTTGAATTCTCACTGCGCACAGAAATATAAAGTACAGATTCTGAAATACAGTACATTGAGTGGCAAAAACTTTGTGGGCTCAGTACACAAATAAATTGTATAACAAGGCCATCAGTATGTGTATAATCCACACCCAAAAAATGTAATCAGTATAAAATGCTCTAACTACTTTCGTGTTCACATGGGCAAGGAACAGATTACTGAGACAACTGTGGACAGCAATTCCTTACTCAAAAGGCAAAATCTTTTTTTTTTTTCCTTTCAAATCCACTGCTGTATGGCTGGTCAGCACATTTGCTCTGCATTTCTTACAGGGAGATGAATAAGCCTGTCCTGATTCATATCAGGACAGGACTGGAACCAGAAGTAGGCTGAAATTCCGCCTATTTACATTATCACACCACAAAAACCTGACTCGTAGCACACGCGTCAAGGAAAAAAGTAGGAAAAAAAGGACTAAATATTCATCATATCTGAGGAAAAGAAAAGATGACAGAACAAAGGAGACGTGCATTTTTTGAAGGGTTAAAGTGACCACTTCAAAGACTACAAAGGCAAGTGTCTGCACAACATCCTGATTCCACATGTGGCTGTTGCTCAGCAAGCTCACTCATTGAAGGATTTTAGAAATATCTACTAATTACTACTTTCTCCCATCTTGTAACATTCCACCTCAACTTGATTATGTTTAATTACTGTTTGTCCAAACACCTGTCATAATGACAGAAAGCAGAATGTATGCCATTTAAGCGATGGTATAAGAAAAGGAGAAAAGCAGATTTGGTGTACCTACAAGTACTTTAGCTAAATTTTTGAAGCAATATTTGAACAGCATAATGAAAATATACAGTACATTTACTGCCTCTTCATGAATGCAGTTCAATAAATACATTTAAAGGTAGAAGACTGTACATTTCCTTTTCGAGCAATAACTGCAAGCTCCAAGATGCATCCTAGCTTGAGAAAATGAAACCAGCCCCATTTGGATTTATATACATTCTTGATTCTTGAGGTAATTTGGCATCTTAATGTTTGTTTGTTTTGTTTACTGAGTCTGACTGGCATCGTTTTAACAGAAAACAGATTATATTTACAGTTTATTTACAAACTAGACAAAAGTGATCAACATCAAAACAGACATGACATGTTTTCTTACAGTATTCTGAAATGCAACATTTATTGTGGAATAACTAAAAGCAAGCAATAAAATTGCAAGATTACTACTGGGGGATCTGTTCCATGAGGCTACTCAGTTACACTCAATGTGCTCTTTGCGGAGTTTTGCTTTTTTTGGAGGGTGTGTGTGTTTGTGTTTTACCTGTACAGCAGCCGTGTGATCTGCAACAGGAGCTAGTTGAACATACTGCACTTGGATGTCAGGTGGGAGTGGGGAGCCCTCCACTGCTGTGGCTCCTCCATCAGCTGAAGCAACAGCTATCAACTGAGCTCCACGAAGCACCTAGAGCAGAAAAAGAGTGGCGAGGAAAGCGGAAAGGTCAAACACAACTGGGATTTTTAGTCCTTTCTCTGATTTTTCATGAATCAGTTAGAAAAACTGAGCTGAATAAAACATATTCAATACGTTTCCCCACTGCCAAGTGTAAAAATCCATCATAAGAAAACTCATTATTTTACAGCAAACGCAATAAGAAACAACCACAGGAATATTTTATTGATGTCCTATCTGATGTTTTTTATGTCTTTAATGATTACAGTCATCACTGAGTACAAGCATGATGACACACAAATGCAGCAAGAAACTTGGCAACTGGGAACGAGTCATGCGGTGGCATAAATAAACATTTCATCCCCACTGTTCTCACTTCTCCACATCCCACTCTTGGATCATACATCACATCTAAGAGAAACTTTATGATCCAGTCATTTCAATTAAGTTCTGTTTTCCTGGGTTCTATAATGTGTTATGCTCACCAGCAATGTTTTTCATTTGGGTTCAAATTTAGAAAAAGAAAGGAAACTGTTGGAGAATGGTTAGTGAGACATCGCAAGGGGATCCTAATCTCCCACGGCGCTGAAAGTCAGCCAGACAACATTAGAGATCTGCGGTTTTGATGCTCTAATTACAGAGCAGTGCAGTGCAGCTGGAGTGTTGTTGAGTAGAGCTTTAGTTCGTTGAGGTGGTTCCTATAGATAGACTGCAACCACCAACAGAGAGGATTGCATTGCATGTATACACTTGCAGAGCACTGCTGTTAATTTGGACAACAAAACTTTCATGTGACAACAGACATACAAATTAACATACAATCATCCTGTCAACACAAGCATACAAAAAGAGAGATGGAGGGAAATATTCACTAAGCTTTGTGCTTGTGCATGGTTTGAAGAAATGCATTTCAACATGACCTGACAGCAGGATCTTATTGATATTTTTTTTCCTTATTTCAGTGATGCCTGGAAAGCTTTTAGTTATGAGAGCTCTGTACTTCGGTCCTATTCAAGGTGCCCTTATTGCTGAGATAATCTTGCATATGCTTAACAGACACACACACACACACACACACAACATCACACAACACACACACACACACACACACACACACACACACACACACACCAACACACAACACACACACACACACAAAAATAGGGCCAAAAATGCAAGCTGGCAAAAAAAAGAAAAAAAGAAAAGGAAGGGGAAAAAAAACTCATTACAGATGATGTTTGCTGCCCTGTAACATCCCACACTGCTTCCCAACCCCCCAGCCCAGCCATTACTTTAAAGTTCTGAGCTTGTGATGTGCCCCAAAGGTTCAGTTAACCACCCCAGTACCCTCCGCCAAGAAGTTCTGCCAATCTGACCACAAAATGTGCTGCTTCATCACCACAGTATGTTAGGCCAAGCCAGCCCGATGGAAGCTATTAGTGTAAGAAATCAGTCTGACTCACTCATGAGATAATTAGGACGCTTCAAGGACAGGAGTGGATCGAGGCTAAGTGGGCTGACCTAGTATAATCTAGTCATCTGTTAGATCTGGGTCAAAGGAATCACACTGAGTGAGAACCTATAAAACACTGAAATATTTAGAGCCTTAGCCTGGAGTTTTGGTGTAAAGACGACTCATTCGTTTAAAAAAAATGGATTTCATGTTCATACTCAACATGTTAAGATATTACACTTTTATATCTTTACTATAAATCTGAAACTGAGGCCAGCAGCCAGCCAACTTAGCATTAAGACTAAAAAATCCTGATAGAGCTAGTCGTCTTCTTCCAATCTTCAAACTCAGTTTAAATTAAAGCTCCCTGCCTTCTGTCTCCAGTTATATGTTTATTTAGCATACAGAAACGGTGTATAATGCTAACAATTCTGGGAAACATTTCCATTTCCTTCTGTGTCAAACGACGTTTACATTCTTGAAACAGCCATCATATTTTAGAAACTATATGCTAAAAGTGTTCAGACAGACAGCTCGGTGAGAAACTAAGAGGAAAGAGCCACCTGCTTAATGGTTTCGTTATGGCAGACATCCATTGCATCTCTACAGTCTCTACTCTTCTATTAGGGATCAAAACTGGCTTCTTTCAAGCGCTTGTCTGTCTGAAATCGTACATTGAGTATGTGTGCCTGTGTGCATAAACTCAAGCATGATCATACGTCAGTACTTACTGTATCTAAGTGTACAATTACCGGGGTTTAAGGGATGCTATGGTTGACACATGAGATTGTAAACACTTGTCTCACTCAATTAACGTCTGAACCTCCATTTGAGAGCAGTTTGCATTCTCAGCTGTGAGGAGCAGCCCACAGACTCACAAAAGCATTTACAAAGTTGGAACAGTGTGTGAGATCTCTGCAGCGATTACACACGAACTTCTCGGGTCCATATCCTGTCCCACGACTTTCTTTGTCAGAACAACTCGTCTCCAGTATTTGAGGATAATACTGTCATGCTTGGCTCTAAAGTATAAAGTCAGTCTAAAACAGCAAGACGAAATGCTCTCGCTCATAACAACTAAATCTAATCAGGGGATAAATTGTGGTTTTCTTTATCTTTCTCCCCCATTAGCATAAATTATCGTTTTGTTGTCTATAATTACCTCAAGGTTGGAAGTTTATATAAAGCACTATAAAGCAATTCTTTGAGTACTGATGATAATTACCACTCATTCAGCTAATAGAACATAATCATCATTAGGCTGGTTGGCAATGATGCAAAAACAAAGATCACTTTAATATATCAAGAAAAGTTTTCACGAGGTAAAAAGTTATGATTTTTGTAAATTAGGCTGAATCAACAAATAGACTGTAAGTAGAAACAAATTATACATTATACAAGGTGAGAAGTGTTTGTACTTGGAACACACGAGTCTCCTGACACTGAAAAAATTTACTTGGCCTGATTGCATAATAACATCGGTTTTCAACTAAGATTTGGAAGAAGTCACTTAAAACGTTGCCCAACATATTAGATTTGATCTAGGGGGCTTAATTTGTCAGACATAGGGGCCACCAGTGGATCTTAAGAGAATAAGTTACTGTTGACCTCAAGGTTTTGGGGATTTGAAGTCTTAAATAATCAGTTTGAATGGCCGGCCACCTTCATGACCAAGTGCCAAAGAGAAGAGCAGCCAGGGAGCATTAAAAGCTATGGTACTGCCCCACAGTACTGGAGAGAAGAGCAATTCTCTGTAGGCTTTGTTAGCTATCACGGTCTTGAGAGAAAAAGGGAAGAAAAGAATAAATCTTTTGCTGATGCTGTAATGCTTTCAGTAATGGATCCAGGACGCTAAAGAAATACAGCAATGGGAGAGGAAAGACAAGTGAACAACAACAGCAGCCTGATGCAGAAAACATTCGCAACTCCAACAGCGAAGGAAAATAACGAAAAGGATAAGCAAAGTTCTTTACCAAGTCTTCATTTACTTGCTTTAATTCAATTTAAATTTTTTCTGCATTCACTTCATATGAAAGTAGTTACACTTGATTTACACAAAGGTAATGGGTGTTAAGAAAAAAAGACAACACCTCTGAATACCCATCCTCATCCTCAGTCACCATCCAAGAGTAATGCAACAGTGAGACAACCAGCATTCACAAGGCATGAGCCAGATGCAAGCTGGCATTAATTCCCAGTCTTTCAGGAGGTCTCACTTAAACTCAGCTGTGGATCGGGTGATGCTATGAGTCACCCTGTTAGCGTGCGTGTGTGTCTAAGTTTCTAAAGATTGTGCTTCCCTTGCTAAAATTACACTGGGAATCAAATATAGCGGCATAGAAACATACCCTCTATTTATCAGGAAACAAAATTCATACCGACTATATTGTAGCAAAAGAGACCAATAAAAATCTGGTTCCTATCACTCCCGTAGGAATACCGCCTCTTCTTTCAGATCTGGAGAAAAAAAAAACTAAACCAAAACAGGGAAATGAAAAAAGAAACATTTGGACTTTGGAGTGCCTGGAACTTCCTCTCTCCTTAATAGCCGTCAACAACATCTGCAACAGCCATTCCTGAACAGATGTCCAAGTAGAAACACTAGCTCCGGGTGGGTAGGTGCGGTCAAAGTGGAGGAGTGGGGGGCAGGGGGAGGGAGTAAGGCCTGGGTTCAACTTGGCCATAAAGATGGCCATAGACACAGAAGTGCTCTAAGTGATTGTTTTGTGTGAACTGGGGAAATGATCACACCGACTGTAAAATGTCTCACTGCAGTCATTACCGCTTTGTTACATATGCCTTTTATTTTACTGCTGAGTCTTACGCTGGCTATTCTGATTTCAGCTGGACCTCAGATTGTAATGTGACTCAATGAAGTCAAAACACTGAAATTAAAAACTATGGTATTGATTTTTCCCCTCTATGTTTTGAGAATTACTCCACTTATTTGTTGATGCATCTTTACCATATATTTCTGACAGATATATCTCCTAGCTAAATATACTTCTTTGAAACTTGTTATGCATGCTATACATGAACTTGTGACCTGAACCAAAGCTTCCCATTTCCACCCACACCATCAAAGTGTTTCTACACTAGAGCTCAACACCTGCAAAGAATCAAGCCCTCCCTTGCATCCTTTGCTTCACAACTCCCACCAGCAGACTGGGAGTCGGATTCAGGCAGGGCTCAGAAAAGTTTTATGATAAAACCAACTTCACTTGAGTTCTGATCCAGAGCAGAAAATCAAAAGGGAACTGATGACAAAAATAACAGCTGTAATTAAGAATAGGGCCCCTTAAACACGAAAGAGAAGTACATTTCATTGACGGTTTTCACTGTTCTCTAGCGTAAATCCAAACTTGGCTTGCCTAATTGACCACGCCATTTTTATAGCGTCAGTAAATTTCATGATTTAAAAGGATGCCGTTATCATGTTTCCAATTATTCTGTTTAACTCAATGGAGCCAGGGAAGATGATAAATACAGGTTGTAAAATTCAATGAAGAAAATACTGCACTGTCCAAACTACCCATCGCAACAAGATCCTTTATCTAGT